ACAAACTGCTCTCCATATAGTCCCCATTTTGTCAAAAATTTCCTATGGTCCCGATGGTGTGACTAGTAATAGGGGAGTGTGACTGTAACAATTATCATATATTTATCTAGATCCAAATTATCTCACTCACCTATTACTCAATTTACTGTTAGTACGTTCATTCTCATCTTTCTAATATGCTGATACTTAAAATCCCAATAAAAATGTCTCCCAAAGCATTAATATGATATAACAATAATAATATGTATAACTATAAGTAATACGACTAAATCAACATCGGAACGTTACAAGTACTACTCCAATATTGAGATACAGCCAACTGCCGATAATTCGACCGCTGGTTACAGAACATTTATTATTATTTCTTTGTAATTAACTGATGATAATTCGACTTGTACGTTATTCGATCGATAACCTCGGAACGCAAGCGGTCGAATTATAGGCAGTTGACTGTAGTAATAGGTGGAATATTTTGTTATCTCTTATGAATTATTGATTAATATAATTGTTCCAGATTAACTCACTACTGCTGACGTGTCCGAGTGGTCTAAGGAGCCAGACTTAAGATCTGGTATGCAATAGCATGCGTGGGTTCAAACCCCACCGTCAGCAAGTTTAATAGCTGCGGCGTGTTGTTTTTCTTTGCTACGGATTCGTTGTGTCACTAATAACTAGATGATCAACGTCGAGCATTCATTAGCATCTTGTTTTATTCATGATGCCTATCATTAATCATCGACAATCTTTTAATCAGCAGCCTGATTGCTGACATCCATTTACGCCGCCATTTATTAAACAGAAGGCTAACGAATTATGTCGTCATATAAAGAAAATGTAGAGAGAATCATATCATTAATCAAGGGACATTCTGGTCGCAAGGCTTTTGCCGTATTCCTTAGGGCATATGCTGTTGGCTATGCATTAACTACAATGCCTCGACTCATAGGATACTGGAGCTCACATATCATTAAATTTTTTAATAAAGCGCAAACCGTAGGAGATAAGAACACCCGAGATATTGTCGGGATAATTAATCTAATATACACTCTTGTACGCGAATCGATTAAAAGAGTGTTATGGCGGAGATTACACATGCGTGGGTTCGGCATGATGTGCGGATTAGCAATGGGTGGGGCACGACTAATAGAAGGGATAATGATTAATCGAAAGAAAAAGATCAAAAGAAAGAAGATAACTGACGCCAACATGGATCAAAAGATGGATGCGGTGGCTACGTCAGAGCGGAAGTCCAAGTGGACAGAAAAAGATTCCATCGCAACTACTTTCTTTGCTTCTACTATCTCTTCCTCCCTTTCTCTCTATTATATACATCGAATATCACCATCGACTATACATGGCACAATAGATTTTACTATGTTTGCACTTGTGAGAGCATTCGATGTGTTAGTGAGATTTGCTTACCATGAACGAATGTCGGAGGGAATCAAAAAGAGGTGGATACCAAAGTGGCTCACACGGCACGCAGATACTACTGTGTTCATTGCTAGCTGTACCGAGATTATGTCTTCTTGGTTTTTTGAGCCTCAGCGATTGCCCAAGTAAGTGGATGGTAGTTTACAATAATTTGTCGCTTTACAAGAGCTCATTTTACTAAACATGTCTTCATTTGTTACATTAGAGCTTATGTACATTGGATAACGCGTATGGCGGCAATGGATTCACGGTTACTGGATGTTGTTCGGATGATGAGAGAGGGAAAATACGAGTATGGTCGAGATAGTGGTTATGCGCATATTCTTGGGAGTTATTGTGCAGAAATAGGTTTGGATCCTTCACTGGGTGATCCTGCGAACGGACAACTTCCATGTTTGGTAGTGCATGGGAATACAACGAAAAGTTGTGAGTTACATACTGGGATAAGATGGATTACTGGATTTTTAATGGCATTGAAGGTAACTCGACGAGTCAATATGTTTAATTGTGTGTGCCCCAAATACATTTCGTCGCTCATTCGCGCTTTATTGTTTATCCTGTAGATTTACATACCAGTGCATCTACTTCCGCCACTCTTATTTCGTCCTCGTAGATTCTTTAAGTCACCTCTCCCGATTCTACTTCACATTATTATAGCGACCACGCGATCAGCTGCATTTCTTGCCACTTTTATTGGATGTATCTGGTATTCATGTTGCTTCATGAGAAATCGTATCGGGCCTGCTCTCTTTCCGTCAGTAAATCCGACTATATATGACAGGCTTCTTGGTCCATGGTTAGGGAGTATGGTTTGTGGGATTTCATTACTGTTTGAGAGCAAGAGAAGAAGAGGGGAGATGGCATTGTACGTCGCTCCGCGGGCCTTGTATTGTTTCTGGAACCGCATAGTTGCTAACAATGTGTGGTGGCAACGAGCAGAGTCATTGCGTGAACTCGGTGAAGTTGGAGTGTTTGGCTTTTCTATGGGAGTGGTAATAACTTCAATGAAGTACCGAAAACATTTAGTTAGGCCTCTCGTTAGAGGTGTGCTTGGATGGATTCTCAAAGCATAGTAGACATGTCAATGTTCGTTCATGTGTAATATGTCACTGATGATAAATAAAAGTCAATCATTAGAATACTTCCGGATCTATTAATGCTCGGTTTATGAAACTGACTATCGTGTCTACTGCTGTATATCTTTCATGATAATTGTATTCTGCTAAAATCTAGGACAAGGTTATCAATTCACAAATTACTGGCCATACTGCAATCTTCCCATGGAGATGAGCAAAAGAGGAAATGGTCTAAATTTTTGGGTGGCATAAATTGCTTGAACAAAAATTTTTAAACATTATTATTGATAATAATAGGAGTCTTTTAGTGAATGAATCCTTTGTAAAACACTTTATAGAAATCTTACAACGTCAGCATCGACTTGACTATTGTATAAGCAGATGAAATTAAATGTTGAGAGCTGTTATATGGAGTGATGAAAGCTTTTTAATAATGATGGACCGATATGAATATTAGCGTGAGAAAGAAACATCTTCAGTAAAGTATGGCGGACAACGGTTGGGTTGCTTGATGATAATGCCCCTTTATATAGCAAAGAATGTAAAAAATAGATCCAGCCTGACCTGAATGGCTTATACGATTGCAAGAATCGGTGGCAACAACTCGCAGCCTTGCGACTAATTGGCCCCCCGATATTAAAAAATTAGGTTTCAGTTCACTGAATAAAATAGTTGGCGGTACAGCTGTTCCATTTTAAATAAACGATATAAATTTTATTTAGTGAATACTCTATATGTAATTCAGTCGACAATATTTGATATGATTGGTTTTTTTTTTAAAATTATTCTATTTCATCGTAAAGCGAAGAACAGTAACAGTTAACGATCAGTGAAATTAATACTTAATTTAGCGCCCATTATAAGTAATAGTAATACATACTGCAGTATACTAGGTAATAAAATCACGAGTTACCTAGAGCCGACTTTATCCTACAAAATTAGATTATGCAAATCGAATATTTAAAAATTAATAATAATATTATTATTATTATATGATTAAAATTTTACTTTTAAAAAATCAACCCACATAATAAATTTACACAAATTTACATTTATTCAAAAGCGCCAAAAACCCGCCTTAATAAAGGACACACAAAATTTTAGTCATTCATCACTTTTTTCCAATCATTTGCGGTCCATTCTCATGTTCACGAACCAACTGTATTCGATCTTTCTTGTTTTTCACCAAAATAAATGGGTTTCGAGCGGTAACTCGGCTGATTATAATTATACAAATCTCGTTTTATTGTCGGTTTACTAACAGCAGTTCCAGTTTATTAGACAACATTTGCCTGAATTTGTTTGTAGTCTGCCGGCGATTGGTTCAAACAGCTATTTCAATATGTCACTTCACTTATCTTTGTCTGTCAGTATTATGGAGTCGTTGTACCTTTTTCACAACACTTTGCTATCGTATCATGAAACTGGGCTTTAGCGAGCACCTCGTTGTGAATAAAAGTTCCTCGCGATAGCTATCGTATCATGTATTTTTGGCTTGAATGACCAGTTTTTTCCTCTCTGAGTGACCAAATAGCCACCCTCCATTAATAAGATTACGTTCAAACTCAGTAAGATCTTGTCGTTCGGTCATTTTCCACTAAAAGTTTGCTGAATAATGTTTGCGGCACCTTGTGATTTCGGAGCATTGTCAACAATAACAATGGCCCGGAGTCATTCGAAGTGCAGATAAATAAAACAAACTTATACTTTAGTCGCCCACAACGAAGCAAGGAATGACTAAAAATTTTTGCATTGATAGCAGGTTTTTTGCGCTTTTGAATAAATGTAAATTTGTATAAATTAAACAATTTTAAACTTTTAGGTCGTATAACGTGACGGTAGTTTTTTCGGTAACACAAAAGTTGGTTATATAAAATTTTAATCATATTACCTGCGCTAAATTCAGTATTAATATTAATTTCACGGTAATTGCATTGCTTGTTATTATTATGTCAATATCTGTAACTACCGAATAGTGCCCAAATTCTATTTCTCAACGAAGAAGCAAGGTATTCAGTTGCGCTTTTAAAGGATATAAATTTGCGCAGAGATTAAATATTAACTTTTTTTTTAATATTCGATTTGCATAACCTAATTTTGTAGGATGAAAGTCGGCTTTAGTGATTTTATTATCTAGCACAGTATGTATTATTTATAATGGGCGCTAAATTAGGTATTAATTTAGGGGGTGGTCGGTGACTTTTGAGACGGGAGTATAGATCTTCATAATTTTAAGAGTTACGGCAAAGCGGTCCTGGCATTCGAAGTTTTTCAGATTTCAAAGTTTATTATTTTAAAGGTATACACGATAATAATAAATCACACGTGATGGTATGGAATTGTTTTTCAGGATGACAAGCGTCTGTGACACAGTAAATAATTTATGATGCAGCGCTGTTCTCGTCTTTAAATATGACGAGGGGATTCAGATAGCTGTAAATACGATATCAAATAATTTTTATTCGTACGGTAGAGTAATAGGATTTAACATTAATCAGAAGATGAGCTCTCGGTAGTGGAAGAATAGTCTTTGCGCTTCGATTTGCTTCGCGATTTACGTTTATCACCTCCAGAGTGCTGGTATACAAATGCAACTTTCGTGAGAACATTGGAAATGATTATCCGGGACAAGTTTAAGAGCTAGCACATAATGTCTTTAGAATCTATTTGTACCTTGTGCTTTTTCCTTTCTTTTTCCCGTGCTTTTCCACGCATAACTTCCAGTGCATCGTCCATAGTTTTAACCTCTTTGATCCGCCTGCTTTTATGTGATGGACTGGCAAGAAACAAAAGTTTATTGACATCCAAATATTAACAAGAAAACAATTTATCAATATACCTCTCTTGTTCTCGGTTCCTAGATCGACTCCTCTTCCTCTTCTTATCTCTTTTCTTTTTGTGCTTATCCTTCCTAATAGCTGCTGCAACTTCTGTTGTTGAAGCGGCAGCATAAATCTCATCGTCACTTGCAACGAGAGAGTATTGTTCACCTTGCTGAACAAAACAATCGGTATCCTGGTATAATCATATGTGTTATGATCTCTACTATCTTAGATTCGGGTTGCGCTGACATTCGGATTCCAAGTCATACAGACCATATGCCCCTTGCCACCACATCGTCTGCATATTGCATTAACAACAGCGTCAGCTATCTCGATTGGATTCACAATCTTTGATGCAGAGGCCGACTTATGACGGTTTTGATCTTGACTTAATTGAACATTGTTGGGATCTACAACGAAGGAAAACAAGTTCAGTTCACATAACAAAAACTGCAAACACTGCAAAAGATCCTTACTTTACCTAAATCTTCACCTCGACCTATGATCAAATTAGTAAATAAATTTCATTTTCCACCAACTCTTGGAAAAGAAAAAGTACGGAATTGAATGATACCTTGATCTACGTATCGCATTGATAGTTTGATCTTTGTCTTTCCATCTTGATCTTCCACTCCAATCACTTTTACCTTGTTGAGAACAAGATTTGTTTATCATACTCTGCATTAATCAACCATCAGTTGCACATCAAAGCATCGCTCACCCAAACAATATCCCCCACTTCTAAAATTTCGCCGACATTCTCACTTCGATATTTTGAGATTTGGGATTTATGTATTAATCCATGTTTTGAGTATCCTTTTATTTCAGCAAATGCACCATACTCTTGGATACTAACTATCTACGGCAGAGAATGAGGTTAACGTGCACTCTGGAACATTTGAATTGCTCGTAAATCGAATAGACTTGGAACAATACCTTTGCTTGATAAATTTCATATAATTGTGGGTGAACATCTGAATTAGACTGTCTGCTATTGCGAGAATTGAAGGCTTTGTGCTGAGGTGTTAAGGGAGCTCTCGATCGCTCAGTTGACATGTCCGATAAACGAATATGCGCTTAAGAGTTTTGAAGAGCATTTTCATATTGCATTGTCACACAATATTTATAATAATGCCAATCACCCTATTCTCGGTGGATAATGATAAGACACATTCTCATTTAAATTGGCTTTGAGACAAAATTGTCCTTGGCAAGTGATTAATTATGTCTTGGAAAACTTCCTTTAGCGACTTACTAATAACACGAACCGGTTCCGTAAATATAGGACTGCTAATAAATAAGAAATGAGCAGATTGAGATTATAATGATTAATTTAGGTGTTCTGGCGGGTTTCTGACATATTAATATATAATAGAAAAGTAAACCAAATTGATGTACAAGCAATTAACATTAAAATCTCTGATCATTAGTGGAGTAACACTGCACATATTATATAAATGGTCAGGTATTAAGAAAGCATAAAAAGTATAAAGTAGCCTATTCAGAGTTCTCTTTAATATTAAGCTGTTACAATACAGAGTGGTAGAAGAACACACGCTTTATGACTATGAAACCCTTTTTTGAATGTCCAGTGACTAATAGATCAGGCTGCTACAAAAAACCAGACTAAGTATGGCATAAATGAAAGGCTAGTTAACAACTATAGTTCTAGTTAACTAACTCGCTGCTCTCCGATGGCCGACTATCGAGAATCACGTGTTTATATAAATATTGATAGATCATAATCGATTTGCTTTTTCTTATTATTATTTAACGTTGTAATCTTTCATTCCCGACAATATAGAGCCATTTCCATTTAGGTCATTTGGTTGCCGTACATAATTCAGCAAATTCTGGTACTTTCTAATGCTGTTTTATTTGAAACCGATGGACATTTTTGATTTATCTCGGTCTCATTTGTATTATGCAGAGACGCGTTATAACTGTAGAATTTTAATTTGACGTTTAGAATACAATTTATATTGATGTTGATATTAATATGAGCGAGGTATACGTATTATTAAAAATAAAATATGATTATGTTGATAGTGAAATCAACAGGGTATGATATTAAAGTTGAGAATTTTTATAAGGGGGCAATCCGTTCTGTAAACCAAGGTTGATAATAGAGAGGTATGAATATTAGCGAGTAGATATTAGAGGGTATTTTGATCAAATCACATGAGACAAACTTGTCGAGGTGCATAATTACGAAGTTGTTGGCCGACTTACGTATTTACATAGGTTGACCGACTTATCAAGAATTTTTTAAATAACGAAGAAAAAAAAACCAACTTTTTTGGCCGAGTTGAGCCAAAAAACCGACTTACCGGGGACCGACTGACTGTGCCGAAGCTGTGCCACTAAACAGAACCTCATCAACCACTTAGTTGATCTTTCAGCCACATTAGCCATTTTTAGCTTATGCAAGTTTTGTTGCAGTTGCATATCACAGAGTTTTCATTTATTTATGTATACAGTGGACTCTCCTAAGTGCAGCACTGACGGGACCATATGGCCAAATCAGACGCGACCAGAGAATCTGCATTTATAGAGAGTAAAATACTTAATGGTCTTATAATTTCGGGACCAAACCAGAGCCTGCATTTAGGGAGGAAAAATATGGTACCTGCACTTAGAGAAGCTACACTTAGGGAGAGTCCACTGTATTATATAGTCTCCAAGCATAAATGAGAAAAGCTGTACTTAATATTAAGAAATTTTATTTATTTTGTAAAAAGAATGATGACATGCATGCTTAATCATACATATTAATATCCAAATTTTTTATTTTAATAATTAAGCTGTTATTAGTATTATACTAATACTGATAACATTATAATTAGCTTCCTATTATTCTTATAATCAGTTAGAAACTATCTCTAGCATTATTATTATTATTATTGAAATATTCTCTTGTTACGGCATAAGTAAGTCACATGATAAAATCTTCCTCTGCAGGCAGAATTTTCAAAACGCTGTTATTATTATTAATTTTAATTCTGTGTTACTAAAGCTAAAATTAGTGTCGTTTGTTTGACTGCACTTTTTCTGCGACGCTAAAAGATATATATAAACAGCTCATCTTCCATCGTTATCGAATAAATCTATTGATCTTTAGTAGTATTTTCCTCGAAATCCTTTATATCAAATTTTTATTCTTTCTTCGTCAAAATAATTGATTATTAGACCGGACACTCCAATAAACGGCTCATTTAAGCTGTAACGGGAAATAGTATTGATTGGATCAAGCTATAAAGCTGTCCGCGGATCAATTATGTGAACAACGGAACGAGAGTTCATAATCAATTGTCAAGACGATTATTATTTAATTAGTTTAGTAAAAGATAAGTGACAAACACCGACTAGTCGAAAAACAAACCGAAGTTAGCCCTGTATTTGTTGTTATTATTCTATTAGAGGTACCCTTATTTGTATTCACGAGTGTTTGAAACTCGGATAGGGAGTGAGTAGCGCGCATAAGGTCACTTGTAGGGCTTAATTCAGTCTTAATTGTACAACTATCGTACGAGCTAAGCCTGGTAACATCCCCCGGTCGGTGAACACACCTGCGAAAGATAAATCGCCCTCCCATAACCCATTATTTACCGATCAGTAACACTCGAGATCCATTGTATCAGGCGGAAAGGTGTCTATATTAACATAGCAATGATTAATTACCAGCGCTTGATTCCATGCATTTTAATTTGTTACACTCTGCTTCTACTCAGGTTTCGTGTTAATATGACAATTCCGACCTCCAAATCCTCATCCATCTTATCAAATTAGGGTAGGAACATTTTACCTGTTGTTAATACAATTGTTTGATATTACTAATAATAATAATAACAACACCATTAAGGAACTTATTGTGACTTGTGAACCGTAATCTTACTACACTTGCATAGCCCAAGTAAGCTTTGATAAAGACGCGTTATCAGGAACAATCATTATTACATATGTAAACCAAATTAATATTCTCCTATTAGCAAAAGTATCTATGAGACATAGTTTATTGAGGTAGGTATAAACAATCGGCGACGTCAACAGACTGTCTACCGCGCGTACACTGCATACTAAAAGCAAAACTAATCAACAAGAATCGAAATTTACTCTGGCAAGATAGCATAATCGAGACACCATAAAAACCAATACACTTTACAAATTTCTAGTTAGTGGACAATAAATCCTTATTCATTTCTAGACTTCTTGGCAGTTCTTTTGGTGCCAGTGGTTGTGGATTTCTTTCTCTTTTCGCTCTTTGCAGCCGATTTATCGGTCTTGCTAGCGGTTCTCTTAGTTACTTTCCTGACCGGCGTAGCTTTTGTCTTTCTGGGTGCAGCTTTGGTCTCGACCTTCTTTCTTTCTGGTTTCTTTTCAGTCTTCTTTTTAGGAGGTGCTTTCTTTGTCTCCTTCTTGCTAGTCGGCTCTTTCTTCGGAGCTTCCTTCTTCAATGTACCGGGTTTTTTGTTAATCTTCACGGGACCAGAAGGCCCTTAAAATAACAAATATCCGAGGTGTAATTATGATGAGTCAAATTAAAACTTTTAGTCTTGTGAAATAATAATTAATGGCCTTAGTCACAAATAAATTTAAATGCCATCATCGGATACCATTAATCGTAAATAAAGATCAAGTTTACCTTTTGGTTGAAGAAAATCTCCATTAGCAACACCACGCTTGATAGCTAGATTAATCTGAGCATCACTACCGTCACCAACCTGCATGGGATGTGGCGCGGGAAAATCAACCGCAGACGCATTAGTAACCCTGATACTGGTTGCAAATCATACAAGCTGTAAACAAGAAATGCGCAGTCCAACCTTGTAGTTAGCATGTATATACTTTTTGATAGCCTGTCTCGATGAACCGTTCCTTTCTTTCAGATTATGGATAGCTGCGCTTATCATTTCTTTGTAAGGTGGATGCTCAGGCGCTTTCTTGGTTGCGGATTTCTTCTGCGTATCTGACCTTTCACTTTGCGCTTTCTTTGGACCCATGGTTTCTAAGTTATCTAGTGGCTAGTCTATCTATCTGTGTGTTTTGGGACAAGAAAGTTCCAGTATTGTTCGTATGTTGTTTCTTGGTATGGAATGAAGAGGAAAGAGACAAGAGTTTGTGATGAAATTGCGGTGGGTTTTTTATGTTTAAAAACTGGCCATGATCTCTGTAATGAAGTCATGCTCATGTGATTTAGTTATTAAGATCACCTGATATCATAATACTGCGGCAATCACGCGTCAACAATCGAATTGTAAACGCGTTCAGTTGTTGTTCAAAAAAGCGCGAGTTTATTTACAAAAGAGAAAAGAGGAATTCCCTCTATTCGGGAATTACAACAAATGTATAAATTCTTTTTTTTTTTTAACTACTTTTTACGCCAGGAGGTTTTTGTCAACAAAAGGAACGTCCAACACGCGATCTGAATATTATTACCAATGTGACAAACATTACGAACAATGACATTCCTACTGCCTTCACATTCAATTTCTAATAACAGCTTCAGTCTCCGATGATATTGCGTATCTAAATGTAATCTGCTCATGAGCATCGATATGTCTTGCTGCGAATAAGGCTATTTTTCGTTTTGATCCTATTTTGAAGGACATTGCATATGTGTTTCCTTGACCCTAATAAACGGTAAATAGATAATGAGTATCTTAGTGATACTATATCATGTTTAAAGTACCAATAATAGACGAAGGATTATCTTACATTATCGACTGAGCTGACAAAGCGTGCTTTCCCTCCGCGTCTACTTGCATCAATCACCCAACCCGCATCTCCCCACATCATATAGCATGATCTCTGTTGACGAGCATATGTACTCTCTAATAGTCGAGCATTGACCGTATTCATCACCATTCCTGTATACTCTAGAATCATATCATCCTTCTCAAATGACTTCTGCGCAAATACACCAAATTCTGTTGGCGGATGTTTTATTCTCTCAGTCTTGTTAACTGTGACAGTGTGCGTAGGCACGCCGCCTGATGCCCTACGGCGAATGGCAGCCGTATCACCATCTTGCTCTCTGCATCTAATGGACTCAATTGTAGTATCTCGTGCTTCTGTCTTTTTCATAGAGTAATATTGTTCTTCTAATATCATTGCATCCATTTTATTCATAATCAGTCGAGAAGTCAGAAGACGGTTATTATTTGCTCTTTGACGATCTATGATCACATCATAGCTGTTGTCCTCTTTTTCAATAATCTGCAGATGACAACATGCTCCAACTCTTCTTATCCGACGCATAGTCTTCTTTGATCGTGATTCTGTACGTGCTGAGACATAAGTGCAGTCATAGTCATTATTGGAGTTATCATCGTCACCGCCGAATACATTACCTGTTCTCCATTCACGCATTGTTTTGACCGATACATAATAATTAGGTAGGCATTGCAAAAAACGCACAATAATTGAGTGATTTAGGCCAAAGAAAGCATGTGGATGCATTAGATAATATTTGAGCTTTTTGTTTTCACTGCGACTTGGAGCAGGGTAGTGAGAGACCAACCAATTGATTACATCTAAAACGGATAGAGAAGCGATATGGACGATACTGGTTAGTACGATATCCACCAATGTTTCGGTAAAATTATTGAGCCTACCTTTCATTGAAGACTGTTGAGATAAATCAACCAATTTATATCTTCCTAAAGGATTCGTTATGTCCTGACTGTTGTCATATTCCATTATTGCTACTTTCCATCCATACAATGCTGATTCTGGTTTATCATAACGCACTATCACCTCAGTCTTTTCCTCAAATTCGGTCAAACTGCGCGTTTCGTGTCGCAGATTAAAACACGTGCCATCAGATGCAATTACTTGACAATCGATTTTGTATTTCTTTCCGGTGATTGGGTCCATATATCGTCGCTCGATGTGAAATCCACAAGGTATTGGATGTTCAAAAGATGAGTCGAATAATGATAGTCCATCAGAAGAAAATTCACCTATCGAGCGTATTATAAGTGCACCAAATCGATAGGTTCCCGGTATTTTTTGTGGATTAAAACTTCCGAATATATTATAATGTCTAGGTAGTGCTAATAATTGGGAATCGCAATTGTATGATTTTCCTTCTTTCCGCACATAAAATCTTTGTAATATTGCATCATCACCTATTCTTGTATTATAATTCATTTCTGAATGGTTGTCGTAATGCTCTTCACAGAATACCTCCCATTTTTCTTGTTTAAATATGAATCTACGTGATCCGTTGTCTGCTGACGATGTATATGCTATTATACACGAAAAATGCCACGTTTTATTGGCGCAGTCTTTTGTTGATCCAGGCCAAGCATTATGACATTCGACAGTAGCAAATGGCTGTCTGCATATGTCGCAGTTCTATACAAAAGAGAATCGGAAGACGTGGTTATTGCGGTAACTAAAAGTAACAACAGTTTAGTAACATGAGTAACAGTCATAATTTGGTCATTGCTATTATGTTAAACACAGCGACGGTAACGACATCAGCAATAGCGGCAATTGTAGTAGGGCATAATTTCGAATTGATTAATAATTATGTAATGGCATTATATTACTTACCTTGTTCCTTGATTCCCTGATCACTTTCTGTACATTGATTAATCCTCCATCTAGTAGGTCTATCATGACGTTCTTTGAATATAATAAACAAAGAACGTGCGCCCAATATTGAATACTAGACTGTGGATTGTCACCATCATCCATCCAAAAGGGAATCAACCTGCCCGACCCGTAAATACCAAGTATTGCTTGAGCAGGACTGCAAAATACACAAGGTGGATCAACAGTTGGAGTTAATAAATGAGAAGCAGAAAGTATTGGCCGCGCATATCCATTTCGATGACATAGTTGGTCTATAGCCATTTGATTTGTCGATTGCATTACTGCATCAGAATATTGAGTTCCATGAACTTGTGTAGCTGATATTTCTTCAATCAGCATGTCATTTCCAGCATACTGCGTTAGCTGATTCATTGACTCATCATTAGTACACTGTTCTTGCTGACTCACTGACTCGCCATCAATATATAGCGCTTGCTGATTTATCAACTTACTTCCATTATACTGTGCTAACTGGTTTATTGATATATTATTAATATGCGGTGTCTCTTGATTGATTGACTCGTTTAGGTTATTATTATTAAGATATCCTCCAATTGCTAGTAATAGTTCTGCTGCTTCCTTGTCTGATGGTAATTCACTCGTCAGCCCAGTCTTCCGGATTTCAGACTGTGAAAGAACGTTTGCCGTGCTATAATCAGAACAACACACTTTCACGGCCGGAATGTCTCTTTGATCGCGTATTCGGTGTTTCCTTTTACTCTTGTTCTTTGACTCTTCTACACACAAAGGACAGAAGTACTTCTGATTCTCATCATCACCAAGTGCCTCATAATCTATAGCTGCTAATCGGTGATCACATTCCTGGTGTATCCAACACAAACATCCATCGCATTTGACCATTGGGGTATCATAGTCGTCACTACGATACAATTTACGACACAAATAGCACACGTTCCCACATGCTTCGAAATAAGAACAGCTGGAACATAGCCGATATTCGTGGGTCCATCGGCGAAAATGATCAGATGCTTTTATATCGCCATCGGAAACAGAAGCATTATCACTGTCATCCGAACTATTCATGTCATCATCACCATCATCACCACGGTCGTCATCACTGCCACCGCCATCGTCCGGACTCGATTGCCTTATTGCGGAATTTGATTCACATTCTAGACATCTCCTACAACTCTCACACTTCCATATTCCTTTGTTCTCTTGAATTGACAAGTCGACAAAAGGTTCGTTCTGCTTTTGGCATTCACAATGCAAGGTCAACCCACATTCAGAACACTCGAGTATCGTATGAGATGGTAACCGATCGCGATAAGACAATCCACGATGCTGATTAAGTGGATTCAAACAAGGTGATAACTGGGCAATTGGCTGTCGACATTTGAGGCATACTTTACATCTTGGACACTCCCAACCAGACGAGTCTATGGTGTGTCGTGTATTTGTCCCATAGCTACTTTCAATACCACAGTACCAATGATACGCTTCGCCACAATGAATGCAATGTACCATCTGATCAGCCGGATCACCTTGATTCGAAATACCACCACATCCAAAGCATACGTCAGAAAAGAGAATGCCAGAATCGTGTTGTATCACTATAGGAACAGTTTCAAGGGTGATAAAGGGAGAAACTTGAACCACTTTGACAGATTGAAACTGTTCAGTCACCCGGATTTGGTTATCATCCAATGAAGCTAATACAACAGCTCTTTTTATCTTCTTGCGTCTTCTTCTAACAATATCATAATCAATAGATCCTTCGTCTGATTGATCGGAGACTGTCTTCGTCCGTTGTCTACGCGGTTCAGGTCTGGAAGTTGCCGCAGGAGATGAATGTCTTCGTAATGATATCGGCTGTTGAGCGTACCTTTTATGCGAAGTAGAGTCATACGATCTATTATTAATTCTTTCTTGCCTATTCTTAGTCCTCACCGTATGAAGTGATATTCCCGTCTCAAGAGACATCGTTCTCGCAGTCCTTCGATTGACCCCTCCATTGTGTAATTCATTGGTGGTTACTTGTGACTTCAGTTTGGATAAAGATGCGTACCCAGTGAGACGAGTACTCTCATCATTTACTTTCGTCTTTCTATCACTTCCCACTCCATGATCCGAATAACAAGTAGCAATAAGCATTGATCGATCAAACTTAATAGGTCCGTCTAAAGAAGTCCAACCATCTTCAACGTGTTTCTCATATATTATTCTATATGCATCAAGGGGAATCAAGAGCTCACCATTGACGGTAGCACCAAGTATGCCCTTCTTATTCGACGTGTCTTGCAAATTTACAAAGTCATTGAAACCGGGTTCACAGACTACCGGCACTTTGATCGATTTCCAACCGTTCGCCGAAACTTTCTTACCAGGCTTACCTAGCCTGTTTACGACCGAATCGAAAGCATGCGGACTTTTACACTCTCTCGTGATCCAACTTGGTAATTCTGCACCTGAATTGGGAATTATTGGTGCTAATGTTCCACGAGCAGTTACCGAAGCGCGATAGCCTCTACAAATAACTTGTGTACCTTCAGATAGCAAGCCAGCCTCTATCAAATGTGATATCTTCACTGTCCTGACACGGCCTTTAGTCTTTGCACCTAGTTCGCTGGCCGTATTTGTGTCCCCCGGTTTAGAGTGACTGATTGGCGGATCCGGCTGAGCTTTCTGAGTATTTTCTTCATCAACGTCCATGATGTCTACAGCTTCCAGCTTCACATTAGAACCTCTCCACGCTCCTGAATCGTGATAGCCGGCCATTATGAAAAAAGTGTGAGTATGGCCAGGTAAAAAAGTCACAGGGGATTGTAATTTGTTTGGTGTCGTCACGGTCTTCGTGTAACGTATTCTGACATAACGCAAAAAACCGTTTTACTATTTATATTTGTATCTAATAGTTGGGAGAAAAAATTAAGATTTGCTGATTTGGGTATAATAATAATAATCTTGGGCAGCGCGTAATACAGTCAAGTTATCAAGACTCACGTGATGAAATATATTTAATTAAGCAAATTTATTATTATAATTAATAATAACATTATTAATATTAATATTAATATGATTTACATCTTAAAATATTCCTGTTGACTAGCTTGTCTTAGAGAATCGATTTGCTTTTTTCTTAACTGACATTGCACGCTCTTGTTAACAAAGTCGCGAAGACAGTGAGGGATAATAACTACTTTTATTTATATAAAAAATCTTTGCCAACAAATGTTACGTTTTAGTATTTTGATTCTACCGATACTGACATGTTCATTTCTTTAATCGTATGATCTACTGACATGTTTATTTCTTTAATCGTATTATTCAATGACATGATATTGCTCTAATCGTATGATTTAATGGCTGCCTTGATTATTACCACTTCGATTTGTGATCAACCAGTTAAAATTGAAGTAAATCGTGTTACGTATTACTAATATCACGTGGGACGGCTTATTACAAGTGCGTCTCGATATAACGACATGCTCGGTTCCAACCCAAATGGTCGTTATATCAAGAATGTCCTTATATCGAGAGTTTAACTTTAT